TGGAATTGACATCTGTCTTAGGAATTCGGTTTCGGTTCATCTGTCTACACTAGATAGTCCTGGAAAGCAAGCAAGTAATTGGTACATTTTGGCAATACCGGTTGTCAACAATAAATAGTTTACTGTTGATAAATAATTATAATTGTAATACTAAACAAATCCATCAGTAAATGTGCACAAACATTCAAGACAATTTACTTTAATAATAAGTCCTCGAGACAAGGTTTAAATCAAGAACATAGACTAACTTTCAAGAAACAGGATTTTGAGATAATTTTAAAATTCCAGTCTTGAGAAAAATCTGAAAACAAGCTTAATTTCTCAAAAATTTAGAGCATGAAATATTTAAATTAAGTTTCCAATGTTGTTGAACAGGTAAAAATGAAGTTTCACACTTGGATTTTTTACCGAGATGGGCACCACCGAGTAGCTCGGCATTTTATTTTGCTGGATCTCAGTGGAAATCTTGCCGAGATTTAGCTAACAAACGGGAATTTTGCCGAGATCTCAGCTAACAAACATAAATTTAGCTGAATCTCGGCAAATTTTTCACTGAGAATACAACCTAATGAGCCTATAACAATTTCCTTGTTCACATGATCTACAATTTACAGCTGTGTGGTTAAACATATGTCATTTATGATGCACATTACATTACATAAATGAACCCTACTCTTTCAAACTATGTTGTTATCGATAATGCATATTTTGCCAATTCAGATCAATTCACATTTATAACAAAATTTCCAGTCATAACAAACCGTATGGGCACCATCTAACTAATTATCGGCATGATGAGTCTGTTCATCGAGCTACAACAAGTGAAAACCACCTACCCTCTTCTACCGAACGAAACCAAACGGGCAGTAGCAAAACATTTACTTTAATCAAATAATTTTCTAATAAATTAACTCACCATCAATGGGGAGATTTATGATCATTTCAGCTTGATAATGCCACTCCATTTTTCTTTTTCGAGAGAGCGCGCCGGCTCTTCTATTCATTTGGTGGCGCAACAGTACCCCCACCCAACCCATCCACAAACACACAGAAAATAAGAGGAGGAGAAACAAGAAGAAGCGATGGTCAAACTCCGGACACCATGCGTGTATTGTTTGTTTGTTTGCAACGGAACGGGACCCGCAGTCTGGCTAGCTGGGACCAGAAACTTGTTAGGACGTTACATCGCATGACTTTTGTGTGCTGGGCAGGCTGCATAATCGAGACAAAGGACTCTTCGATGCCCCCCCCTCATCTTGGGAACCAGGGTGGCCTGCTTAGTTTGTTTTTTTTTGCCTTGGACTCTTGCAGGGGTGTGTATGGAACGGGTCGTAAAATTTACGCATGCACCTAACTATTTTTTTCGCTTTCCAAGAGGGCGACAAATGCAGATCCTGAGCTACTTTCAATCTTTCTCTACTTGCTGGCTTTTGCTGGCGTGGCGATGCGATGGTGGGTCATAAAGATGAAAGGGAGCTGTTTGCTTTTTATCGCCTAAATCACACTTTTCCTTTCTATGTGCTCGTTTGATCCTTCTTTGTGTGTTACGGGTTCGGTATGATGATGGTGATTCGATTTTATTCCATTCCTAGCACTTTTCACAAACAGATAAGCGAAGAAGCGAATGACCCCTGCACGCTTGCTTCGATTGTGTCCTTGTTGGTCGAATATATTTTGGATTTATTTCGATTGAAACTCGTCCAATTTTCCAGAGGACCTTTCCTTTTTACAGTGCCACTTTCACGATCAATCGAGCTACTAGTTGATAGAATTTTATTTCCATTGCGCTAATGAAGAAGGGTGAGAATTTTATAGATAGCATCAAGGAATGACATATGAGTGGGAGTACCGCAGATCAAAGATGACAAATGCATGCGGGTTGTTTGCAGGACAAAGTAAACTGGAAACGTTTGTTGCCATGCAACACAGTTGCAACATTTGAAAGTTTACTTGTTCTCTTAGCCACTTGTCATCCAGAATCAAGAAGCACAATCGAGTTTTTCGAGATTGCTCATTGCAGTGCCTTTCATTTTTATATAACATTAATCAGCGATGCTATCAGCTAATCTAAAGGTTTTAGAATGAAGATTTAGGACGTCTAATTAATTTTTGGAAAACGATTCACGAGCCAATTTTTAAAATGTCGTACTATTTTCGAAATTAAAGTTAACTATCTATGGTTTTGATCCTTATAATAATCCTGTATACTTTCATTCGACTTTCAAATAAATAACAAAAACTGATGTATTATTTTATTCTAGATCATTTATCTATCAATCTATCTACACAATTAGAAAAAAAACATGTATATTTAGGTACTCTGAGAGTGACATACACGAGCGTCAATTTTGACATAAATAAACGCGAAATGTATCTCAATCAAGCGCACGTTTCAGTCTCGGTGCACTTAATATTACATGAACACACGTGTTTGTTTACGTCTCATCTTTTATGTCAAAGATGGATTCCGTCACGTGTAAAATTTTGTTATTTCTAAGTGTGTAGATCTAGACAAGTTTTTTTTTTTTTTAAATTTTACATCGCACGACTTTAAACCACATTTTGCATGCTAAAACTAGAGTTCAAAAGCAAATATTGGCCCAAATTTCAGCCAAAACCATTAAAATTTAGTCTGATTACAATAAAATGATCTTTTTGCGGTCGCGAACATTTTTTTTTAATTTCACTCATATTCAAAAAAATAAATTCATGTTTTATTTGAGAATAGTTCAAACATAACAATAATCAAAAAAAAACTGATGATCAGCATACCATTTCATAACGAATATCGAACATTTAGGCCCGATCCTAATGACAGACCTGATTGTAGTACGGTTCGTACTAGTACGTACTAGTTAAAAGGAGTTCAAAGTTAGTACAAACATGTCTGCCACAAATATAAGTATTTTCATTTCTTCATAACAAGATTCCATCACTGCATTACAAAGTGATTATCGTTCCAATTTTCGATAGTCAAAATAGGGTGAGAAAATTCCACCATATACCAACCTTCGAAAAATGAAAAGCCTCTTAAGCACTTCTCCGGTGTAGCTGGGAATATGGTATCTCTATAAAGTCCCAAAGGGGGTAGCACCATTGACGTAATAAATTGCTCTAACCCTTCTCTTCCTGGAAAGGAAACGCAAGTCGCACCCCTGCACTCTGCGTACGTCTTTCGTCACTTCAGTAGTCAAAAGGGAAAAACCAGTAGCAGGTTATTCAGTTTTTTTTTATTGTGATAGATTCAAATGGTAAAAAGAACAACCCATATTGGGTAATGTTTACACACCCCGTTTGTAGGAAAAAGGAAGTTCTTAAAGGGTTCTTCAAGACTGGGCACGAGCCATTTCCTCTCGTATCTTTGCTTCTACCATTACTGACAGGACGGAAGGGTCAATCCTGTGTTGGGTGATGTGTTTTTACAGCGTGTTTATAGTTTATCAATTTATCCGTTCATTAGAAACGATAATCGAATTATAATGCTTGGGTATAAAATAAAAAAAAAATAGCTAAAGGGGTGGCCACAGAAGACTGTCAAGATAAACGTCAATGTGGAGCAAGGTTATTTGCTGGAATCAGGTTATCGTTTGAGTTGGGAATAAGTATATTAATTAAAATTATATAAACACCAAGAACTATGACGTTTCCCATCATAGTAGCCCAGATATTCTCCCTTTTCAACGCAACGGTCTACTTTGTCACTAACTCCTATATTGACAATGACATCACCTCAACAAGCACTAAACAAACGAGTAATGCCTTCCACTTTGGCGACCTTTGTCCACTTCGTTCAGTCTAACCTTTCCGAATCCCTTCCCATCATGAAGTGAATGTCATTTCAAGATGTCGTCACAATTTATTCCACTCTAAATCATCCCACTTTGGGTGCCCTGGGTGCGGGCAGAAAAGGACTTTGCAGACGCCGTTCGGTAAATCCTCGGTTCTACATTTTGCCGGTGTTTATGGACATGAAGGATAATTTCCTTAAAAATTGAGACATTTTCCCCCTCTAGCTGGTCGACAAGGACCAGCCAGAAGGTTTTTCGCTTTCATCATGTTTATTACATGTGATTTATATTCCCGACAGCAGTCCGGATGTCGTTGTTGTTTTTCCTTTTCTCTGCTCAGGGATATGTAAACTTTCTAGGATTAAACCAGTTCCATTGATCGGTGGGTGTGTGAGGAAACCATATGGAACTGCAGCTTTGTAGGGGATTTCAGTTGGAGTGGGTTTAAATTCCAAATCAATCACGGCACAAATCAACCCTTCAGATTCGATTAGAGAAAGAGAGGAAGAGCCTTGTAACAATGGCAGGGCGATTTAAAATGGAAAAAATGCGTGTGTGGGATTTGAATTCAAACCGTTTCGTTTCGATCGCAGTAGCCATTGAAACTCCATGTTGGGCTGCTTGGATGTTTGTGGCTGGTCATGGCAGGTCGGTGTTTTAAACTTGGCAATCTTGTTAAAAGGAAACGTGGAAGGGGATGATGCTTTAGGGAAAATTGGATGAGGGTTTGATCCCTTTTCCGGAAATTAGCATAACGTTGGATCATTATAATGAAGCATGATGCTGAATATCAAGTACACAGTTTGGTATAAGAAGTCACGAAAATTACTCAAAATTTCAAAATACAAACATCGAAAAATTCTCATCAGCGGCAATGAGAATTGATGTATCAATTAATGGCTTTAGCACTTTTCAATAACCCATTCCGAAGGCCAAAGCTGGTCGTAAATATCGCCTTTCAATTTTCTTAATAAACGGTCACCAACGACGCTCGATTCGTCTTTCCGACGAAGAAAATGATGAAAAAATACACATATTAACGTCCCAAAAGAGGAAGAAGTATTCGAGCGCCATCTCTTGATGGTCTGCTTTTGGCCGCCCATTGCCACCACAGACCAGACGAGTGACGACAGTCAGTAGAGGGAAAAAACGTACATAATCGACTTACAATCGGTGATGAGGAAAAATATGGTTAAATTTTTATGAACTCACCGGGTGATGATGACTTTCGCCGAGTTTGACTCTGTTCCCTGTTGGTGTTGGATGCCAGCTCCTGGCTTGCTGCAATTGCTTCCAATGCTGACGATGCACCGCCGCCTTTGCAACCATTCATGTTATCATCCTCGCCCTGTTCGTCATCATTGGCATGTCCGCGGTCATGTTTGCCTCCACCACCACCGTGGTCTTCGTCATCGTCATTCATGTCATCATGAACGCCATCGAATCGATGCGGCGACGTAAGACGTCTACGATGATGTGGTTGTTCGTCAGGATGATGATGGTGACGGTGAAATTGATGATGATGTTGATGATGATGATGGTTTGAATGTGGCTCAAGTTCGTCGGGTTGCTCTGTTTTGAGCTGAGAACTGGTACTGGTCGCGATTGGCGATGGTTGCTTGGATTGTGGTGGTTGCTGCGACTGCACCAGCAACGGTGGCGGCGGCAGTGCATTGAAATTCAATTCATGTTCCTCGGAGTCTCTTTGATGTCTTTGATGTTGGTGGGATGACACTGTTGCTGCTATCGAAGATGGACTTGCAGCCATCGATGAGGAGGGCAATGAAGAAGAGATTGGGGATGACCGGTGACGGTGATGCATGGATAGCGGAAGATGACTGGATCGTTGTTGCTGATGCTGGATATGATGATGATGATGATGATGATGATGTTGATGATGGGGATGATGCGAATGATGAGGTGAATGATGTGCGAAATGAGGTGGCGGTGATCGTGTAGCTTGATTCTGTCTCGAGCTTCGTTCGTCGAGGTTCATTTCGCATTCGGAGTCATCTTTCTCTCTTTTGATCGAATGCATCATCGGACTCAGGTTTGTCATTCCGGACGACGAAGAAGCAGACATTTGAGGACTTGTGGTCGGTGGTAGACCGAGAGGACTGGGTCCAAGAGGGAATACACCTAACGAACTCGTTGGCATATTCTCCAGCATACTCCTTTTCAGCAGAAGGTTGCTCTCATTCAACAACCCAAGGGTAGGGTTTTGGAGCATCATGTCTCGGATGGTCAGCAGGCTGCCGGGAATAGCGTGCTGTGAAATCGATGTTGATGAATTCAATGGCGTCATGCCCAAGCCACCTGGAACCATGGTAGGAGGCAGCAAGGGCTGTGGTTGCTGCCCAAGCGGACCTGTTGGTAACGATACGGGGTGATGCCATTGCGCTTCGTTGCTCAACCAAATTTTTCCTGCGATAGAAGAGAGAAGAGGAAATTTTTTAATCAGACGTGTTGTGACGTTTGTGCTCTATGAGTATTGCAAAAAAAAAAAAAAAAACATTTCTTGACCAATTGAGGGAAACTGCTGATGGAAATACTCTGTAAAACCAATGTACCTAAAAGTCGCTGGGAAATACGCAATGGTATATTTCTAGATTACAATTAATAGGTACCAACATAGATACCTCATTAATCATCTAATCGTGTACTCACGACAATCAAGGACACGACATCACGTCAATGCACACTTGTCTATGGCAACCGCCCTAGGAAAATGCTCCGAAAGAGACCGACGAATTCATTCCTCCTGGTGTTATCAGTCTCTTGCTTCGAGATGTCTTAAACAGATGATTTCCCTCCCCATCAGCTCATCCAACCCAACCAACACGCCCAAGTCTCGCACATTCGTTAATTCCTGTTTTTCTCCTTGGTTTCATTCATTCATCTATACTCTGCCGTGCCCCCGTGCATCTCGTCCCCGTCTTCTTCGATGTAGTACTACTACTACACAGCCCATCCGAGTCTGGCGATGGGGTGTTTTCACCGAAACCGCTCATCGCACTTGACTGACCACGCGCGCGTACCTTCCTACCTCTGCTTGATGCTGACCATCAGACCACCACATGAAAGGACACCATCCGCCGTCGCCGTCGCCGTCGACGTCGACCGGCACTATTACGTACATATAGCGTTTTCGTTGGATCGATATCCTTCAAGCGTGTTGTATAGTTTTGTTGGCGAAATTATAAGGAAGGAAGTTCAATATTAAAGCTGTCTTTGCTCCCTTGGCACAGACCTTTCAATGTCAAGCGTACAGTTCTAGTGAAGTGATTGAAAGATGTTATCAAAGATTATTTCTGAACATAATTTATGTTTGAGGCATTCATATTTTTCATTTGCACTATTCACAACATTAAAAATGGTTACTTTATACCTTTAAATAGCGTAAAAGAGAAACCAACTTTTGGCTAGAACATCATTTCTGGCGGTAAATTACTTTAGCTAACAGGTTTCAATTATGTGAATAAATGCAATGCTCTAAATATTTTACTCAGTGTAGAATATAGTATTGATTGTAACAGAATATATCATCGATAAGTTGATCATTCATTAATTGATGTTTTGTCAGTCAATTTCGAGAAATGGCAGCTGGTTAACTATGAATGCTGGTTTTTTCTAATGTTTTCCAAAATATGCACAAGCTTTCATCAGCATCGTCGTGTCGGGAATATGTCGCTCTACCCGAACTTGATGGCTTTCATCGATAGAATTTTCAATTTAAGATTAATTTACGAAAGGAGCTGTCCAAAATGTTCCAAAAGGGCGAATTTCAGGGAAAAAAAAGTTAAATTTAATGCTATTTGCTTTGCATTACTAATATTGGCGTTGTGGTTGGGGTTGAAGGAGCTACATTACTTTTGAGATTGTTTTACATCCGATTAAATTGTTACTTATACTTACACACCCAATATATTTTTTCCAAACACTGCAATGATTGCTGATATTTAAAACAGTCAATTTCACATTATCAGTTGGGTTCTTTAATTTTGAAAAATATATCGTTTTTAATTTATCAATTGGAAGAGCTTCGTTTTCTGAGCAGAGCGATATTTTTTTCGAACCCACACACTTTCATCTCGATTTATAAATCAAGATTTAAAGCAAAATAATAACTTCACTGTTTAATACTAAACTGACACACTAACACCTCGCTCCCATACAAAGTGACACCGAGGGGTGCTAATAAGGTGATTTTTGCAAATGTAATCATACTTATTTAAAATAGTTCCAGTTTACCAAAATTGATGACATTTTGGGTTTGAGTTTCATTTTTAATGCAGATTACGAATTTCCATTTACCTCAATACCCTTAAAGAACCCAATTGTTCAATACTTCATATAATTTACTATATTTTACCTAGTATCTTTCATTCCGAATGGTGCATATAATTTATGGTAACACATTATTTAGTTTCGTTTCTTCGATATCCTTAAATTGACCTTACTAAGATGATATTTTAAAGTAAATATCAAAACTTTTTGAAAAGGGTGTTATTTTACTAGGGCTACTAGGATTAAATCTTCTGATACTTGTCTTTGAGAAGATTCAAATTTTGGACACTAAATTTTGTATATAGTTTTTTAAGCTACGTACGATAGCAATCACTGTATAATCTCATTTAATTCGTTTATTATATCTACGTTATACTTAAATCCATATTTTATGTCGGTTGATCTTATGTAATTATTAAATAAATGAATTGTCTTGTCCGAAATATTAATCACATTTGTTCACAGTGAAAAATGTGATTCATATTTCGGACACACTATTTTCTAAGAATGTTGGAAGCGCGTTAATATCATCGCCTGCAATATTATAATGCAGGGGTGATAACTATAAAACATGGTTGTAAAACCGCGGGCTAACTATCATATATTTATATCATATAGGCATTTCAAGCTATAATTATAAAGGGTCCAACATTTGAAGGTGTCAGAAAAATTAATCATCTTCAAAATGTTGCAACTAAATTTAATTATTTAACAAAGTAACATCACGTCAAAGTTGATGATTTTGTATGGAAATCCTCTCCCACAGGTGTTATAGGAAGCAATAGCATGACACAGTCTTCATTTGTCTTGTGTCATTTTATGTAATTAATAACTTATCCTAACCTACAATGCCTCAAAAAACTCAAATGGATGTGTGACTAAAGAAATACAGAATTTAAAGCCATAATTACACAAAAATTCTCAATATTTGATTACCTCCCACGCAGTAATTAACAATTGTCCCTTCAGTCTTTTTACACCAAACTGTTCATCAAAATTTGTCGCAGGGTGGCCAATGAACTGGAAAAACCGGAAAATAACCAAGGATTTGAAAAGAAGCCAGGAAAAACCGGGAATTTAACGCAAGAACCGGGAAAAACAAAATTTGGAAGTTCAATAAGAACTTGAGCTTAATCAAGCAAACGTTTCTATCTTCAGCTGAAAATGGCTTATTCAGCTCTTAATCATCATAAACTTTTGAAATTATTTTCAAATTTTTATTTGAGCTTACCCAAAACTCTCCTCAGAAATCCTTTGGGATTCTCCTCACCTTGGAATTCAAATTCACTTCTAAATTTTCATTTAACTACCCCAGCGTTTCTCTTTAATAAACCTTAGAACACGATTCCTTTCAAAAAATTCTCAGAAAACCTTTTAAATAATGTTTATATTTCTTTTGAAATTTGCCTGCTATTCTCTTCATAATCCATATTCAATGCCCCTCAGAATCACCTAGGAATTATCCATGAAGTTCTCCTTACAGCTTTCTTGTAACTCTTCTAAGAATTTCTCAGGACTTAATCTCAGAATTAATTTGGGATTTATATCAGAGTTCCGTTGAATGTATCTCTGAGTTCTTCTCAAAATTTGGAATGTTTTTATAAATATATCTTCAACCTATTAAAACCTTAAACATTTTCGAAGCCTTCAAAACTTTTCACGTGCTATATTTTTTTCTTTATTTGCTGGGATCTTGGAAATTTTGTTAAAATTTGAAATCTAGTAAATTTTGAGAACTGTGAAATATAGTCCCATATTGCTGGGAAAAATTTCAATCCTGTTTTTTTTTTCTCTTGTAAATGTAGGATAGATTTTTATAAGTCCCAAAATATCTCAAAAAAATGTCATATTATAAGACTCTATAAAAATTTCAAAATCTTAAATTTCTGCTAATACAGATCATGATGCGTTAAAATACTTTCTTGCTCCGGGATCAAGTTCAAGATTTCGGACCCATTCAGCCCGATAGCATTCGGCTATGCGACCTTAAAACAAAATCCTTGGTTCTGGTACTTTGTAAATTCTGGCGGTATAAAATCATAAGAGGACTCAAGTCTAAAAAAGTCCCGATGGAATAAGTTTAGTTTGCAACCGAGACATATCGCAGAAGTATACAAACAACAATGATTTCGGTCCCTTACCATAGCCCTAAACTATATTTCAAAAATTAAAAACTTCAATCAATGGCCATCCCCACATCAACGGAAACACATCGCAGAAGGCCTGAAGATGACGTCACACCCGTAACCGGCCTTGTGATGACATCTTCAGCAGCTAATTACACGCTTCAAGGCCAACTGAGGAATCATAGCACTGAACCGGCGCCCCAAAAGACAACCCTTTGGTCAAACACCCTCCCTGACGTTGATATATGGCAACAACAACAACAACAACAACAACAACAACAACCTCAAGTGTTCCAATTTTCGTTCACTTAACCCGGATGTGTAGAGGTAGAGGTGTAATACGGGAAGAGGACTTTTGCGGAAGCAGTCACGCGCGTCTGCGATCGATCGATGGTGGCCGTCAATCGGAGCGAACAACAACACACTGCTACCATCGCCGCCGTCGCCGCCGCCGGGATTAAAGCTGATGAGTCCAGCAACCACAAAATTAAAGTTACGCTGGACCACACAGCCACTATACCTATACTACATCCGCAAAATAAGAAGGAAGCAAAAGTTGAGGGTGGATAACTTGTTTAGTTTCGGGTTGCTTTGTTGTGATGGCCCATGTGTGCGTTGTGGGGTAGCCATGTGTATGGGTGATCAGAATGGCAAAAATCTAGCCCAAATGGCAACTAAACGCGGGCGACTACGATGGCAGTGTTGCTGGTCATGTTTATTACATTGACGGATTTAGCTCATTCCGATGGCAACAGTCACTTTCCTTGCGAGGAAAATTAGTCTGATGAGGTCGATGACTGCTCTTTGCTGTACTCCGTCAGGAGAGGAAACGTAGCGTCGCGTTACGATATTGAATGGGATTTAGGGAGATTTGGCGGTGCCCTTCTATCCTGACCCAGTGCTACCGCGTCTACGTTCAACATCCGTACGTCTTGCAACTTTTGTCTTTGACTGCTAGACGTCCATATTTCTAGGAGGATTGTACTCGCACATACCACCAAAGAAGACACG